AGACTTGAGACTTTCCAGCCTCTACAACCACATGAGCCAATTCCTTGATATAAATCTCTCTTGTGCGTGCTCTCTCTCTCTCTCTGTCTCTCTCTCTCTCTCTCTCTCTATATATATATATATATATACACACGCTTCACTGGTTTTTCTTCTCTAGAAAACCCAGCCCAAGACACTGCCCCTGCCCTGCCCCGCCCCTGCCCCACCCCCGCAAGATGGCGCACGTGAACACTGGGGTTTTCGCCTCTTACCTTCTGGCGCTGCTGAATGTTGGCCACGGTGTCAGGCTGGAAGTCCAGCTTGTCCGTGCGGCAGAGTTTCCAGTAGAGGATGACCAGGATCACCACGACCACGAGCACCGGGATGACCACACCCACGATGACCCAGAGGTTGTTGCTTTGTGACTCCATGGACGGCCTCCTCACCCTGTCCACCGCTGCAGGCAAGGAAGAACAGGCTGCCACAAGTCCTTCTTGATTCAAAAAAGTATTCAGCAAACATTCCTTGAGCACCTACTGTGTGCCAGGATTATTCAGGCTATTTCCTTTTGAGTCAATTTCGTGAAGTTTTATTTTTTTAGGAAGGTGGCCACTTCTATACTTTCAGATGTATTGCTATGAAGTTGCTGAATGGTGTTCTCATCATTTTTTTTATTGTGGTAAATTATATATAACAAAATATTTGCCTTTTCAACCATTTTTACATGTACTATTCAGTGACATTAATTACGTTCCCAATGTTGTACAACCACCACCACTATCCGGTCCCAAATGTTCCCCTTACCTTTAACAGAAACTTAGTGCCCCATAAACAACAACTCCCCTTTGCCCCTCCCACCTGCCCCTGGGAACCGCTAATAAACGTTTGTCTGTATGCATTTGTCTATTCTAGACATCTAAGTGGGATCACACAATATTTGTCCTTTTGTGTCTGACATACTTCACTCAGCATGATGTTAACAATTCCTTCTTAACTCACGTACTGACTGCCTTTCTGTGGAAAG